CACCGGGAGGGGCCACCTCTCTCGGAGGGCCTTATGGGCTGTAGGAGGAAGGGAACCAGCCCCAAGTGGGCTGGGCGCATCCCCCCCTTGGGCCCATGCGCCTAGGGTTGGGGGGAACCCTAAGGGGGGCGCCCCCCTTGCTTGGGGGGCAAGCCCCCTCCCCTTGGCCGCCGCCCCCCCTCTAGATCTCATCTAGAGGGGGCCGGCCCCTTCCCCCTTCCCCTATAAATAGAGGGGCGAGGGGAGGGCTGCATACCACATCCAAGGCGCAGCCCCTCCCCTCCCCAACACCTCTCCTCCTTCGTTAAGAGCTTGGCGAAGCCCTGCCAGAGTACTGCTGCTCCACCACCACCACGCCGTCGTGCTTCTGTTGCAGCTCTCTTCCTCAACCTCTCCCTCCTCCTTGTTGGATCAAGGCGTGGGAGACGTCCTGGCTCCGTACGTGTGTTGAACGCGGAAGTGCCGTCCGTTCGGCGCTCGGTCATCGGTGATATGGATCACGACGAGTATGACTCCATCAACCCCGTTCTCTTGAACGCTTCCGCTCGCGATCTACAAGGGTATGTAGATGCACTTCCCTCTCCCTCGTCGCTAGATGACTCCATAGATTGATCCTTGTGATGCGTAGAAAATTTTAAAATTCTGCTACGTTCCCCAACAGTGGCATCATGAGCTAGGTCTATGCGTAGTTTATATGCACGAGTAGAACACAAGTTGTTGTGGGCGTCGATTTTGTCAATTTACTTGCCGTTACTAGTCTTATCTTGATTCGGCGGCATCGTGGGATGAAGCGGCCCGGACCGACCTTACACGTACACTTATGTGAGACATGTTCCACCGACTGACATGCACTAGTTGCATAAGATGGCTAGCGGGTGTCTGTCTCTCCCACTTTAGTCGGATCGGATTCGATGAAAAGGGTCCTTATGAAGGGTAAATAGAAATTGACATATCACATTGTGGTTTTGGCGTAGGTAAGAAACGTTCTTGCTAAGAAACCTATAGCAGCCACGTAAAAATTTTACAACAACAATTAGAGGACGTCTAACTTGTTTTTGCAGCATATGTCGTGTGATGTCATATGGCCAAAAGGATGTGATGACTGATATATGTGATGTATGAGATTGATCATGTTCTTGTAATAGGAATCACGACTTGCATGTCGATGAGTATGACAATCGGCAGGAGCCATATGAGTTGTTTTAATTTATTTATGACATGCGTGTCAACATAAACGTCATGTAATTACTTTACTTTATTGCTAAACCGTTAGCCATAGTAGTAGAAGTAATAGATGACGAGACAACTTCATGAAGACACGATGATGGAGATCATGGTGTCATGCCGGCGACGACGATGATCATGGCGCCCCGAAGATGGAGATCAAAAGGAGTAAAATGATATTGGCCATATCATGTCACTATTTGATTGCATGTGATGTTTATCATGTTTTACATCTTATTTGCTTAGAACGACGGTAGCTTAAATAAGATGATCCCTCGCAATAATTTCAAGAAAGTGTTCCCCCTAACTGTGCACCGTTGCGAAGGTTCGTTGTTTTGAAGCACCACGTGATGATCGGGTGTGATAGATTCTAACGTTCGAATACAACAGGTGTACGCCAGATTTACACACACAATACACTTAGGTTGACTTGACGAGCCTAGCATGTACAGACATGGCCTCGGAACATGGAAGACTGAAAGGTCGAACATGAGTCGTATATAAGATACGATCAACATGAAGATGTTCACCGATGATGACTAGTCCGTCTCACGTGATGATCGGACACGACCTAGTTGACTCGAATCATGTATCACTTAGATGACTAGAGGGATGTCTATCTGAGTGGGAGTTCATTAAATAATTTGATTAGATGAACTTAATTATCATGAACTTAGTCTAAAATCTTTACAATATGTCTTATAGATCAAATGACCCACGCTAATGTTGCCCTCAACTTCAACGTGTTCCTAGAGAAAACCAAGCTGAAAGACGATGGTAGCAACTATACGGACTGGGTCCGGAACTTGAGGATCATCCTCATAGCTGCCAAGAAAGCATATGTCCTTGAAGCACCGCTAGGTGATGCACCAGCCCCAGCAAACCAAGACGTTATGAACGCTTGGCAGACCCGTGTTGAAGATTACTCCCTGGTTCAGTGCGGCATGCTTTACAGCTTAGAACCGGGGCTCCAAAAGCGTTTCGAGCAGCACGGGGCATATGAGATGTTCTAAGAGCTGAAAATGGTTTTCCAAGCTCATGCCCGGGTCGAGAGATATGAAGTCTCCAACAAGTTCTACAGTTGTAAGATGGAGGAGAATAGTTCTGTCAGCGAGCACATACTCAAAATGTCTGGGTTGCACAACCGCTTGACTCAGGTGGGAGTTAATCTCCCGGATGACGCGGACGTTGACAGAATCCTTCAGTTGCTTCCACCGAGCTACAAGAGCTTTGTGATGAACTTCAATATGTAGGGGATGGAAAAGACCATTCCTGAGGTATATTCAATGCTGAAATCAGCAGAGGTGGAGATCAAAAAGGAACATCAAGTGTTGATGGTGAATAAAACCACTAAGTTTAAGAAAGGCAAGGGTAAGAAGAACTTCAAGAAGGACGGCAAGGGAGTTGCCGCGCCCGGTAAGCCAGTTGCCGGGAAGAAGCCAAAGAATGAACCCAAGCCTGAGACTAAGTGCTTTTATTGCAAGACAAGAAGGCCGGCAACACTAAAGGTATATGTGATATACATGTTATTGATGTGTACCTTACCAGTACTCGTAGTAGCTCCTGGGTATTTTATACCGATGCGGTTGCTCATATTTATAACTCAAAACAGGAGCTGCGGAATAAGCGGAGACTGGCGAAGGACGAGGTGACGATGCGCGTCGGGAATGGTTCCAAGGTCGATGTGATCGCCGTTGGCACGCTACCTCTACATTTACCTACATGATTAGTTTTAAACCTCAATAATTGTTATTTAATGCCAGCTTTGAGCATGAACATTATATCAGGATCTCGTTTAATACGAGATGGATACTCATTTAAATCCGAGAATAATGGTTGTTCTATTTATATGAGAGATATGTTTTATGGTCATGCCCCGCTGGTGAATGGTTTATTCTTAATGAATCTCGAACGTAATGTTACACATATTCATAGTGTGAATACCAAAATATGTAAGGTTGATAATGATAGTTCCACATACTTGTGGCACTGCCGCCTTGATCACATTGGTGTCAAACGCATGAAGAAGCTCCATGCAGATGGACTTTTGGAGTCTCTTGATTATGAATCATTTGACACGTGCGAACCATGCCTCATGGGTAAAATGACCAAGACTCCGTTCTCCGGAACAATGGAGCGAGCAACCAACTTATTGGAAATCATACATACTGATGTGTGCGGTCCAGTGAGTGTTGAGGCTCGCGGTGGCTATCGTCATGTTCTCACCCTCATTGATGACTTAAGTAGATATGGGTATGTCTACTTAATGAAACACAAGTCTGAGACCTTTGAAAAGTTCAAGAAATTTCAGAGTGAGGTTGAGAATTATCGTGACAGGAAAATCAAGTTCTTACAATCAGATCGTGGGGGAGAATATTTGAGTCACGAATTTGGCACGCACTTACGGAAATGTGGAATAGTTTCACAACTCACGCAGCCTGGAACACCTCAGCGAAATGGTGTGTCTGAACATCGTAATCGCACTCTATTGGATATGGTGCGATCTATGATGTCTCTTACCGATCTACCGCTCTCATTTTGGGGCTATGCTTTAGAGACTGCCGCATTCACTTTAAATAGGTCTCCGTCAAAATCCGTTAAGACGACACCGTATGAATTATGGTTTGGGAAGAAACCTAAGCTGTCGTTTCTAAAAGTTTGGGGATGCGATGCTTATGTCAAGAAACTTCAACCTGAAAAGCTCGAACCCAAGTCGGAAAAATGCGTCTTCATAGGATACCCTAAGGAAACCATTGGGTATACCTTCTACCTCAGATCCGAAGGCAAGATCTTTGTTGCCAAGAACGGATCCTTTCTGAAGAAAGAGTTTCTCTCGAAAGAAGTAAGTGGGAGGAAAGTAGAGCTTGATGAAGTACTGCCTCTTGAAACGAAAAGTAGCGCAGCTCAGGAAGATGTTCCTGTGGCGCCTGCGCCGACTAGAGGGGAAGTTAATGATGATGATCAATGTACTTCCGATCAAGCTCCTACTGAACTTCATAGGTCCACAAGGACATGTTCCGCACTAGAGTGGTACGGCAACCCTATCTTGGAAATCATGTTGTTAGAGAACGGTGAACCTTCAAACTATGAAGAAGCAATGGCGGGCCCAGATTCCGACAAATGGCTAGAAGCTATGAAATCCGAGATAGGATCCATGTATGAAAATGAAGTAAGGACTTTGACTGACTTGCCCGATGATCGGCGAGCCATAGAAAATAAATGGATCTTTAAGAAGAAGACAGACGCGGATGGTAATGTGACCATCTATAAGGCTCGGCTTGTCGCTAAGGGTTATCGACAAGTTCAAGGGGTTGACTACGATGAGACTTTCTCACCCGTAGCAAAGCTGAAGTCCGTCCGAATCATGTTAGCAATTGCCGCATTCTATGATTATGAGATATGGCAAATGGACGTCAAAACGACATTCCTTAATGGTTTCCTTAAGGAAGAATTGTATATGATGCAGCCGGAAGGTTTTGTCGATCCTAAGAATGCTGACAAAGTGTGCAAGCTCCAACGCTCAATCTATGGGCTGGTGCAAGCATCTTGGAGTTGGAACATTTGATTTGATGAGATGATCAAAGCGTTTGGGTTTACACAGACTTATGGAGAAGTCTGTGTTTACAAGAAAGTGAGTGGGACCTCTGTAGCATTTCTCATATTATATGTGGATGACATACTATTGATGGGAAATGATATAGAATTCTTGGAAAGCATAAAGGCCTACTTGAACAAGTGTTTTTCAATGAAGGACCTTGGAGAAGCTGCTTATATATTAGGCATCAAGATCTATAGAGATAGATCGAGACGCCTCATTGGTCTTTCACAAAGTATGTACCTTGACAAGATATTGAAGAAGTTCAATATGGATCAGTCCAAGAAGGGGTTCTTGCCTGTATTGCAAGGTGTGCGATTGAGCACGGCTCAATGCCCGACCACGGCAGAAGATAGAGAAAAGATGAGTGTCATCCCCTATGCCTCGGCCATAGGGTCTATTATGTATGCCATGATGTGTACCAGACCTGATGTAAACCTTGTCGTAAGTTTGGTAGGAAGGTAGCAAAGTAATCCCGGCATGGAACACAGGACAACGGTTAAGAATATCCTGAAGTACCCGAAGAGGACTAAGGATGTGTTTCTCGTTTATGGAGGTGACGAAGAGCTCGTCGTAAAGGGTTACGTCGATGCTAGCTTCGGCACAGATCTGGATGACTCTAAGTCACAAACCGGATACGTGTATATTTTGAATGGTGGGGCAGTTAGCTGGTGCAGTTGCAAGCAAAGCGTTGTGGCGGGATCTACATGTGAAGCGGAGTACATGGCAGCCTCGGAGGCAGCACAAGAAGCAATCTGGGTGAAGGAGTTCATTACCGACCTAGGAGTCATTCCCAATGCGTCGGGCCCAATGACTCTCTTCTGTGACAACACTGGAGCTATTACCTTGCCAAGGAGCCCAGGTTTCACAGGAAGACCAGGCATATCAAGCGTCGCTTCAACTCCATTCGTGAAAATATTCAAAATGGAGACGTAGATATTTGTAAAGTACATACGGACCTAAATGTCGCATATCCGTTGACTAAACCTCTTCCTCGAGCAAAACATGATCAACACCAGAACTCTATGGGTGTTCGATTCATCACAATGTAACTAGATTATTGACTCTAGTGCAAGTGGGAGACTGTTGGAAATATGCCCTAGAGGCAATAATAAAATGATTATTATTATATTTCCTCGTTCATGATAATTGTCTATTGTTCACGCTATAATTGTGTTATCTGGAAATCGTAATACATGTGTGAATACATAGACCACAACAAGTCCCTAGTGAGCCTCTAGTTGACTAGCTCGTTGATCAACAGATGGTCATGGTTTTCTGACTATGGACATTGGATGTCATTGATAACGGGATCACATCATTAGGAGAATGATATGATGGACAAGACCCAATCCTAAGCATAGCACAAGATCGTGTAGTTCGTCTGCTAGAGCTTTTCTAATGTCAAGTACCATTTCCTTAGACCATGAGATTGTGCAACTCCCGGATACCGTAGGAGTGCTTTGGGTGTGCCAAACTTCACAACGTAACTGGGTGGCTATAAAGGTGCACTACAGGTATCTCCGAAAGTGTCTGTTGGGTTGGCACGAATCGAGACTGGGATTTGTCACTCCGTATGACGGAGAGGTATCTCTGGGCCCACTCGGTGATGCATCATCATAATGAGCTCAATGTGACCAAGCGGTTGATCACGGGATCATGCATTACAGTACGAGTAAAGAGACTTGCCGGTAACGAGATTGAACAAGGTATCGGGATACCGACGATCGAATCTCGGGCAAGTATCATACCGATAGACAAAGGGAATTGTATATGGGATTAATTGAATCCTCGACATCGTGGTTCATCCGATGAGATCATCGTGGAACATATGGGAGCCAACAAGGGTGTCCAGACCCCACTGTTGGTTATTGGCCGGAGAGTCGTCTCGGTCATGTCTGCATGATTCCCGAACCCGCAGGGTCTACACACTTAAGGTTCGATGACGCTAGGGTTATTAGGAAGACTTGTATGTGATTACTGAATGTTGTTCGGAGTCCCAGATAAGATCCCAGACGTCACGAGGAGTTCCGGAATAGTCCGGAGGTGAAGATTTATATATGGGAAGTTGTCATACGGTCACCGGAAAGGTTCGAGGGCATATCGGTATTGTACCGGGGCCACCGGAGGGGTTCCGGGGGTCCACCTCTCTCGGAGGGCCTTATGGGCTGTAGGAGGAAGGGAACCAGCCCCAAGTGGGTTGGGCGCATCCCCCTCTTGGGCCCATGCGCCTAGGGTTGGGGGGGGGGACCCTAAGGGGGGCGCCCCCTTACTTGGGGGGCAAGCCCCCTCCCCTTGGCCGCCACCCCCTCTCTAGATCTCATCTAGAGGGGGCCGACCCCCTTCCCCCTTCCCCTTTAAATAGAGGGGCGATGGGAGGGCTGCATACCACATCCAAGGCGCAGCCCCTCCCCTCCCCAACACCTCTCCTCCTCCGTTAAGAGCTTGGCGAAGCCCTGCCGGAGTACTGTTGCTCCACCACCACCACGCCGTCGTGCTGCTGTTGGAGCTCTCTTCCTCAACCTCTCCCTCCTCCTTGCTGGATCAAGGCGCGGGAGACGTCCTCGCTCCGTACGTGTGTTGAACACGGAGGTGCCGTCCGTTCGGCGCTCGGTCATCGGTGATTTGGATCACGATGAGTACGACTTCATCAACCCCGTTCTCTTGAACGCTTCCGCTCGCGATCTACAAGGGTATGTAGATGCACTTCCTTCTCCCTCGTTGCTAGATGACTCCATAGATTGATCTTGGTGATGCGTAGAAAATTTTAAAATTCTGCTACGTTCCCCAACAATTGCCACACATCAGAATCGTATCATTGAATGCCGATCATACCCGCTCTACCGGTTCGTGCGCAAGGAGCTTGGAACGGAGTACTTAACCGGGGAGAAGACAAGGTCTTCTGGTCAAGAGGTGGACAAGGTGTTTGTTGCCATGAACAAGGGCAAGCACATCAACCCACTGCTGGAGTGTCTCAAGGAGTGGAACGGTGAGCCCCTTCCGATCCGCTGAAGATCGAGAACTTGAAGAGAAGATAGTGTGCTTCAGAGTTATGAAGGCTTCAGATGTTTTTAGCTTATAAGTAATAATGTTGTTTTTTGGTTGGATTTCCTTAGAAGTCGTTGTTTGTAATGTTCTCACGGAGTTGATCAGTGGTATCTCTGTAGTTGCTAGTTCCATCAACACAATGTGATGGCTTCTCCGAATTCTTAGTATTGTATCCAGTTATCTTTCCCTAATCTTTACCTAATAATAAAGATAATTGGGTTTCTGTCGTCCGTCATTAAAACTGCCCCTGAGGTTGTAAAGAATTACCCAACCGATGGACTTGACTTGTGAAAAAATGTAATCAATGGACGACTACAGTTTATATCAAACACAGAATCGATGGACTTTCACAATGCAGGCTTGCCCTTACCATTTACCAGGTGGTGACTTACCGGAGGAGCCAGTGGTGCTGCTGCGACCTTCTCCGGGCGATGGTCAATGATGCAAGCTAAAATCGGGGATGGGATAGCGGCTCCGGGCGACAATCAGAGGCGAGGCAGCGCTGCAGACCGAGGACAAAGTGATGCACTGGGGCGACGGCGCGGGGCGAGGAAGAAGCGGCGGATGGGGCTGTGCATGGGGGAGTTGGGGCGACCATTCGGTTCAGCGCACGGGATCGTATTAACTCTGTTTTCTCATAGGTACCTGCGCTGGTATAGTTTCTCCATGGGGTTACCAAACGATTATCTCTACTCCTTGATTAAGTTGTCACATCAATTTTCTACTTACATGTCAGGCTTAGCACTGGGAGCAGCCTTATAGATGTAATGCAATATATTCTCTCTTATGCCTACTTGAAATACTGTTGTGGGTCTGTACTTTGCCTCTCATATTGCAAGGATAACACATTGTATGTCTATTCTCTTAACTGTAGTAAGGATGAAGCAGGAAAGTGTGCTGGACCTTCTAACACGGATATTGTACATGTACGAGCTACGGGCCACTATTGTTTATCACATATGGATTGTAAATGTAGTGACATTGAAGTTTGTAACATATCCTTAAATTTCCTGTAGAGCCAGCAAAAAATAGAATAAAAAGTTTCATTACAATTGGTGATTGAATGTCAAATGGCAGTGATTTTATATCAATGTGTGGGAGGTTGATGAAAGATTGCGTGCAGAGTATACCAGTGAAAAACATCATTTATTTAGATGAGCTATTACCAAAGCAGATATACTATATTTCTAGCTGAAGTTAACAATGCTAAAATATTTCATTGGGCGGCAACTTGAGGGCAAGAAACATATATATATAAGCCTATTCTGAAATGTCTAGAAATATTGAAGCTTCAGCACGGCGGTCCAGCATCCGTGGAGGAGATGCACCGTTTTGGACATGTTGGTTAACTTCTGTTGCTTGAGGGGTTGATCACGAACGTAGTATAGGCCGACGGCGGGGAGGTGGTTTGTGTCGGGGAAGAGGGCGACGCTGGGGAGGAGGCCAATGATGTGGAAGAGGGTGATGAAGGGAGGAGGACGGCGGTAGGAGAGGGAGGCAATGGAGTGGTGGCGAGCTAAATAGAGTGAGGTGGAGGGTTGGCGGTTTGGCGGTGGCGAGCTTGTGAGAAGGGAACAACGGCGGCGTCATGAATAGCGCTTCGACTGGGTTCTTCAGAAGGGGGATTCAGAACTAAGTTATGCCACTTGGCGATGGCATTGTCGTCGTAAACATATTAAGCTATGTGATTTGACTTCACAAAGCTAAGCTTCGGCAACTTCACCAAATTATACTATGAGAGGCCTCCGATCCGCGTAGTTGGTTAAGCATGGAGTTGAAGCAGATCCGAGCAATCCCTGAACTTAAATTCTGCTCTTGGACATCAACATATCAAACTGAAACATGACTGATTGATGCGCCTACCCTACCGGTGGTTGAATAAAATTTTGTAGGTCTTAGTGTCACCTCATGATACTATCCATACTTTTCATCCCAAAAAAGCCATTCGTTTAACTGCACTGTCACCCGTAGCAACGCACGGGCATACTTACTAGTCGCTATTTAAGTGTACCATTTACCAATTTCAGTCTGAAATGTGACAAAGGCACTCCATACGCTGTTCTCTGACTTAACTTCGTGCTAGGAACATATTTTGGATAAATAATTTTATTATTTCTTTGTTGATGGACGAACACAAATAGTTTCTTTCGGCAACGAAAAAGTTCATGAAACAAAAATACAAGGTTCACACGTAATTTAAAGGGCATTCAAAATAAGCTTGCAAGACGAAGGGCAAGGAGCCCTCTCAAAACCACCTCGAGAGTCCATTCGAATATTGTCACAAGAGCTATAACATGTGTGCATACTTGTAGATAACATGTAAGCGATTATAAAATATAGCCCTCTCAAAGCTAATTTTGCTGTCTCTCCCGAAGAAGAAATTAGAGGAACCATGCTCCCGACATGTCCAAGGTTGGCATTTCTTTTCAGTATATCCCAGCAAGTGTGATTCAAAAGCAAATTTCACTGGCATGCGTGGTCACGGTGTGTACTGGGTGGCCGATCAGGCCCGTGCCCGTGCGCAGGACCAGTGTACGCCGTGTACCTCTTTCATGATGAGAAAATGCAAACGCCACATGAACTCGTGAGGCACATGCCGCGTGCAACGCGTGCCTCGTCCTTGTGGGTGCAATTCGGCCACATGCTAGCTGCAGACATTATTTTATAGTCTCTCCATGACTCCACGTACCTGACTGATCACTTCAATCAAACTGTTACTGTAACAGTGGAGGTTCTTTGCAGCTAATTAATTCATCGGAAAGCAGCAGGAAAATAATAGGACAAAAATCATGATCGAGTTCAAGCCCCGGGTTGGTAAAAAATGGCATGTAGTGGGTAAAAATAACCAGTATTACAAAAGATTTTCAGGAAGAAGAGGAAACACACACAAAAATGCCATGATGCAAGCAAGTAAATTGCCAAACTGTTGGGGAAAAAACACATAGGGAAATTGATTTAATTTACCCATAGGTAGTATAGGAAAGAAAATTTCAGAATTTTTGCCATATTAAAAACAGCAGGAAAAAAGGTTGCCATGTACATGATAAATATTTACCTATATGTTGCAAAGATGTTTGCCCATTTTCAAGATTCGTGTATTTAATAAAATTTACATCTTAAAACGCAAACGAAGATGACATGTTATATACCCTAAAAAATGTTGGGTATGCCATCGTAAAATCACAAAAGGTTTTGACTTGGTGTATGTTAAGATAAAATTGCCATGCTATGTTCGAATAATTTGCTCTGGTATTACAAATAAATTTACCATGGTTTGTTCAATAAATTTTCAATGGTGTGCAAAATAAAATTGACATGGTCCAAAAATAAATTATTACAAAGGAATTGACATGGTCAAATTTTGCGATGTTTGGAAGACATAAACGTTATTAATTTTCCATGTGAGCAGGAGAATTTTATTTTCTAAATTTGCCATGTCTTGTACACAAAAGCATATTTTTTCCATGTGACAGGTAGAAACATTCCTAAAATATTCCATGTCATGTACACAAAAAAGCGTCATTTTTTATTATTTTAGAAAGACCCCCCTGCCGCCCCCACCCCCAAATAATATTTGCCATGGGTGGACACCTAAAAATAGACCATGGCAAATTTCTTCAATTTACCGTGTTTTCAAAAAACAAGGAAGTTTTTTAAATTTTCCATGTGACCATCAGGATACATTTTTCACATTTGGTGTGTTTCTATGTACGTGAGATGCACACCAAAATTCGGAGTTTCTATATGGTCATTTGAAAAGGGTATAGAAACTATCAGGCAATGCATTGATAATTTGCCATGCATTTTTGTATGTAAAGATGCACAAAATTTCAGGAAAATGAATCAAAAATCTATGTTGCCATGTAGTCAATTGAAAAGGGCATACAAAATGCAAGGTAGTGACTAAAAAAAAATCATGGCAAATTTACCAAAAAACAGAAAAGGGAAAAATGTTGCTAGGTTTATTAAGGAAAAACTGGCAAAAACCTAAACAACGCATAGCTAGATTAGGCCTAAAGCATCACAATACATACAAAACACCAAAATGCCAACACACCACAACACACTCGGTCGGGGCACTCGATGGCCTTCACCACGACCAGAGTGCACATCAAAGAATGTTGTACTATTCCAGGCTACCACAAGCATGTCTGAAAACCTCGATTCCACACAAGAGGAACCGTATGTTCGATAGAGTGAACCTTTGTTGCTTTGATCCCGCGAGGTTGGCTGACATAATTTGCTTGACACTTCTTGTATGTGGAGGGTGCTCATGCTGCACCTATAAAGATGTCACACTAGCCGCCACCCACCACCTACACGGGCATGAGTCCCACTGATCGTGTCAAACTTACGTTGGTAGCCTCACCTGGCCAACCCCATGACCCGGCCCACCCATCTGGCGTTCCGCCTTCACGAGGCGTAAGCACGGCGCCACATCTCACATAGCAAGGACCCCAATCGCAACTCAGAATCTTCCGCCTCCACCAAACCCAGAGCCTTCGAATGGCCAAAAAACCCTAGAGCCTCCACTGCACCACCGCTTCACGCTCCTAGCCGGGTCTGATTAGTGGTACACCGGCCAACCCAGAACCGTAGCCAATGCTGGCTCGTTCCGCCGGGCCCAGAGCATAAGCCAGCAAGGGTCGACAGTGTCCTACTCCCTCCGGTCCTTTTTAGTTCGCATATAAGATTTGACTGAAGTCAAGCCTCGTAAAGTTTGATCAACTTTGTAGAAAAAAGTGCCAATATTCATAATCTGAAATCAATACCACTAGATGTGTCATGACTTAAATTTTCATATTATATAACTTTAGCATGGCAGATGTTGACATTTTTTCATATAAATACGGTCAAACTTTGTGAAGTTTGACTCCAGAGAATTCTAATATGCAGAGTAAAAAGGACCAGAGGGAGTACATTGGCATTGTACTCGACACCCCGCAAATCCGCACCTGGGGTGC